CTAAATATATCAATTGAGAAATAATTTTATTTTTCTAATTTAATAAATATTATTATTTTTTTATTATTATAAATATAAATATAATTTAATTATTTCATGTATACAATATGGATGTCAAATCGAAGATCATCAAAAGATGATTAATTTGATATATTATATATGTAAAATCGATACGAAATACAGAAGTTATCGACTTTTAAAATACATTTATAATTCAATAGCTAATTGAAGGAAACAAATATATTAGTCACTTAGTGCCTCAGTATGTAAAATTATAAAGAAAATAAAGGGTTCTATTAGTACAAGTGATATTAAAATACCTAAGTTAGCTAAATAATAATTATGAAATGTTCAAACCTAAATTATTAATTATTAATATATCAATATTATTTGTCCAAACATAATTACGAAGCATGATTATTTACCAAGTAGGATTCCGAAGCACCAGAAACAACTACGTAGACTCAGCGCATTCGAGAATAATTCTCCCTATAGGGAGGATAATATAGGGAGGATAATAATTCCAAAATTTCCAATGTAAATAAAGAAAAAGTCAACCACTTTTATTATCTACTATAATGGGATATTAATTATCACCTAATAATTTTATTTTATTTTATTTTTTTCCTACTTGTAGACTTGTAATCTTAATCTACTAGTATTGAACCTGTGCATTTGCACAGATTTATAAATAAAGTATTGTAAGTTATTTGTATGCATATAATGATAATTTTTGCCAAATTTAAAGGAGTTGAAATATTTATTTTTTAAAATTCCGTTTATCATATTGAGTAGTGTATATTTTGGTATGTAACTTTTTTATGAATTATTTATTATTTATTTAGGAATTTCAAATACATTTTTATTTTCTAAAAGAAGTTAATTTAAATGTAACCACAACAATAATATTTAATCACGTTAAATAGTCAACACATTATAAGGTCAGCTGTAAGTAAATAAAAAATTTAAAATAATTTTTGTAATTTTGAAGTGATTAGTGTATTGATTATTTAATAATTAAGTGAGAGGTAAATAAATAAAAAGGAATGGTTTTTGGAGGGAAAAAATTATATTGCCACATAGGTATAATTTAATAGATTTTATTAAATGCTCATGAGCCAGCAATTATATATATAGATGCTCATTATTTACAAAAAAAAAAAAAAAAGAACTATGCTCATTATTTTTCAATTTCATGTTTTCAACCTTCTCATCAGTTCTGGGTTTATAAGCGATATTTATTAGAAGATAAAATGAAAAATATGAAATAATTTACGAGAGTTTTAGCCATCAAATCATTACACTTTGTACATAAATATATATGATGCATGCTTTGGAGAAATATGCCAAACGAATTATAGAAAATAATTTCTGAACTTTGTACCCACCAACATATGATTAGTGAAAATAGGGAAATGTTAAGCTCCCGATACAGAACCATTCCGTCGGGATTTGTAATGGTTAGATCATCATATAACCATTAGAGATAGTTGATCTAACAGTTACAAACCCGACGGAATAGTTTCACAATTAGACCTTAGCATCTTCCTTTGTGGTTGTTTAAAGGAACGTGAATAGACAGCCTAGTTTCACCTAAAATCTTGCAAATTTGAAGTTTTTGCATGTAATTAAGCTTTAATTGCATGTTCTGGCCTTGTAAAGCATTATAAGCCACGTTTGCTCACGTGTAAATAGATATGAACTTCGTGTTATATTATAATCTTGATTCATTACAATTTAATATCCTAAGGGTGTGATTGGTTGGGAAAGGGTTATTGAGCTTGATATAATCATCTTGATTTTATCAAAGGCTATCTCACATTTTACTTAGCCCATTAACTCATTTGGTTGAAGAATGATAATTATAACTTTTAAGGCTAGATTACTTTTTTGCCCTTCATTTACCATTAAATTTTCAATTCTTGCCCCCATAGACAATCTAGAAATCCACGCTCAAAATTCCTCCCTCATTTTCAATTCTTCCCTCACACTGCAAATTCTTCCCTCATTTTCAATTTCTTCCCTCGAACTGCAAATTTAAAGATGGATAATGACGAATTGAACATAAAACACAAAATAACCAAATCCTTCACTATTTTTCTCCTGAATTCTGAGGCGATGGACGACTTCCGGCAAATCAAAGCACAAATTCTTCTATTGCCCTACCGCGGCAAGGAGAATTTCACAAATCAAGCACAAATTCTTCCGGCAAATCAAAGCACAAACCCTTCGATTTCGGAGCGGCTAGAAGAATTTCTCGCCGCCAACGTCCGCCGCGAAGCTCGGCCACTTTTTTCGAAGCTCTTGATTTAAGGATGTCCATGGATGTTGATGGGTAATTGTTAGAAGAGATTTTTGATGCAGAGATTTTTTTTTATGCAGAGATTATTTTGAGCTCCTATTACGGGTTAATTTTGATGCAGAGATCTTCCTTTTTTTTTATGCACGGGTATGTGGAGGAAGGAGGGTGAGGCTATTTTTGTAAATTGGAAAGTAAAGATTACACATCCCACCAAATAGGTGGTATACATAATACTGAAAACTGTTAATAATTGAGCGGGCCATGACTTATTTCCAAGGCTTTTTTATGGGAACCAAACATGATAATAGGATGGATATAGTATAAAATGGTGTGATATCAAGCCCAATCCATCCAACCAATCACACCCTAACAATATTATTATTATTATTATTATTGTTGTTGTTGTTGTAGTTGAGAGTAGATGACAATATAGCATACGAATTAAAAAAAACGAGAAAAGGAAACAACACAAGATTTACGTGGTTCGGCAATATGCCTACGTCCACGGCAGCTGGGGGATCTTTATTATTCTCAATATGCCTACGTGGTTCTGGCTCTGTTCCGTTCGCTTCGCTCGGTCGCTCCGCTTCTCTCACTACGCTCACTCCGCTCCGTTCGCAGGCATCAGCGTGCCTCCTTCATTTGTCAATATATGAGTCATACCAACAACTATTATTATTATTATTATTATTATTATTATTATTTTTATTATTTTTATTATTATTATTATTATTATCATCATCAAAGGGGGGAATGAGTAAACGTTCATCTTTAGAGGGATGAAAAAGCCAATAAATTAGGGCCGTGAAGAGTTGAATTGAGAGGAATACTCAAATACTGAAGTGTATAAGAATATTTAACAAATATATATGTTTGAGTATGTATTACTCTTAATTAAGTCAAACTCAAACTAATTTAGTTTGTACAAATTGTGAAGCAAAGGCACATTTATGAGGTTAATTGACGTACCCTGTCATAACATATTCGATACTTCATCTAATACTTTATAAGCTATCTATTTTCCCAAAATAAAAATAAAAAAAAAAATAAATAAATGAATTTTAGGCGTTTTCTCTATTTTTACAGGTTCTGGTGGATTTCATCATATGTGATCATGATCACTGAATAATTTCTTGTTGAGCTATAAGATAACAACACCACAAAGTATTAACAAAATTTATAGATGAGACGATATAGTCATATTACGATATACAAGTTCAAGTGTTAGTTACTCGACCGGACGATATCCTCGAGTCGACTGCCCCAAGTCGACTTCCTATAAGACATCGCATTAGGGGGAAGGGCGCCACTCTCTATCTTCGATACCCAGAAGTCGACATGCTCAAGTCGACTCCCACAAACTATCTAAGTTGGGATGGATGATCTCGAAGTCGACTTACTATATTAAGAAAACGAGGGCGTTTCAAGAATAGAATGTAGAGCCTCTTGACGCATCGCCTCCGCGTCGACTTCTAACAATTTGAGGTCAACTCTTTACACCTCGAGTTAGAAAGTAGACGACAATTCAAGGTACTTCACGTTATCCAAGTCTATTCGCTGGGTAAGCAAGAATATTTATGAGATAAGATGAAATCTTAAGCTGACTCGGGTCTGACTAAGAAGTAATTATGAGAAGGGTAAACCAGGCAAACATGCCGGTCGACTAGGGCATTTTAGGTACTTTGAGTAGGTATTTCCTTCTATATAAAGGGATCAAGGTAACCCTAAACCCTAACTTTTACTCTCTATTCATTTCCCAGTTGCTGCTGCTCCCACTGAGCAAAGCTCTTTTCATCTCTTTCTCATATTGACTTGAGCGTCGGAGGCTCTACGCCGGAAACACTTATGGCGGTGAGTTTTTGCAGGTATTTGCGGTGGTCTAACAACGGTTTGGAGGCGATTCGAACAGTCGAAACTCATATCTACCGGTTCACTCTAAATTTAGGAAGAGACCCATCATGAGAGATAAAGTGAAATTGATTTCAACAAAAATAAATAAATAAATAAATTGAGTCATGTTCAAAAGAAACCTTCCTCCATCATGAACAAAATTTTGATAACGTTTTAATACATTCAATTGAAAAAATAATTTGGTAATTTTAGGAAACTTACTAAGAGACTTATAATTTTAAACTAATATTTTTTCTCCCTCCAAATTCCTCATTTTTTGAAGAGAATGTAACTTAGATTATGTTTACTAAACTTAGTTGATGTCTATAATTTATATGCTCTCACTTATAGCTTTTAAGTGAATTTCGAGTTTATATCTGATAACTTATGATTTATGGCTGAATTTATATGATAAAAGTATTTAGTAAATTTAGCAAATAAGTCGATTGTTACAAAAAATTCAATAGATTTATTTGAAAAGTCATCCAAAGAAACTCATGAGCTAAACTCGAACTTTAAAAAAAAAAAATCCTCGTCCTATTTTATATGCTTATCCACTTAGATCGAAGTACTGTTGGGCCATACACCAATCGCAGAAAATTTTTAGATACAAATTGACTTACAACTCTCCCTCCCTCTCTCTCTCTCTCTCTCTCTCTCTCTCTCACACACACACACAAAACTTGCAGCAGAGGATACCATCAACAAGAAGGCAAATATCAAACAGAAGCCCAAGAACGAAAAATCATCACATAAATAATAAAAAAAAAAGCAGGAAATAATGCCAACAATAACGAAGCTCTACTCAATGGAAGAAGCGTCTCAGCACAACACGAGCGAGGATTGTTGGATCGTTATTGACGGCAAGGTAACCGCAGTACTACTTTTCTTATTGAACTTGTAGTTTGATTTTATCCCTTTTTGATGCAAGGTAGATGGAAGGGTAATTCGGATTAGGGTTCTGTTTGACGGGGGGAGATTTAGGGTTTTGGTTTTGAGGTGCTGATAAAAGGGGGAACTTGATAATTCTGAGATTTGCGGTTTGGTGGAGCTAATATGGAAGTGTACATATGCAAATTTTACTTGTAGTTTGATTTTATCCCTTTCTAATGCTCGGTAGATGGAACGGGAAATTTGAATTAGGGTTTTGATTTTTTGGTTTTGAGGTGCTGATAAAAGGGGGCAATTGATAATTCTGAGATTGATGTTTGGTGGAGCAATTATGATCATTTAATCTGTTTATAGCTTGTTGCTTGGAGGAAAGATTGAAATATTTGATCTAATTGTAGCGTGTTTCTTGGAGGAAAAATCGAAACTTTTGATTTAGTGATAGCTTTGTTGCTTGGAGGATATATTGGAACTTTTAATCTAATTGTAGCGTGTGGCTTGGAGGAAAAATTGAAACTTTTTAAGAGTCAATTTACTTTGCGAGAATGGTTTCCAACTGGTTTATCAAATCTTGTGTTGGTAAAATATGGATTACTGATTATGGTAATATTATAATGTGAGAAGGTTAATGAATAGTTGTCGGGGGTATTGACAGGAATCCAATCTGTAAACCATTTTGGCACTTTAGCATGACTTAAATTTTTAATCTAATGATAGCTTGTTGATTGGAGGAAAATCGAAGTTTTTAATCATAGTGTTGCTGTATTTGTTCTTGCTAGTTTTATCTGTTTCATGTGTTGTGAAGTTACTTGTGGTTGTACATTTGGTTGCTCCTGTTATGTTGTAATATGGTGTTGTGTTGGGAAATTGCCTCAATCTTTGTGCGATGCTAGATAACTTTGGGAAAGAGTTTCTTGCTATCAAATAAATTTCTGATCGAAAATTGGACTCTTTTTTTTTTTTTCCAATTAGTTCTGCTTATAACTTAAAGATTTGATCGTTTGATTATTAATAAACAGGTTTATGACGTTTCAAGTTATTTGGACGAGCATCCAGGCGGAGATGATGTCTTACTTAGAGCCACCGGTACTTTTTCTATATAACATTCATCACAAAGTGATTTACTTCTTGCAATTCATTCATCACCAGAAATTTAACCTCAGGAATAAAATTTAACCAGACCCTGATTTTCATTTCTTTTTCTTGTTTTAACGTTATGTTTTATCTGAAGGAAAAGACGCCACAGAAGAATTTGAAGATGCCGGGCATAGTAAAACTGCAAGGGACCAAATGGAGCAATTTTTCATTGGGGAACTCGATCAGTTGCCACCTCCTATTCCCGAGCTCGAAATTGTACACAAAAAGCAAGAATTTAAGGAGCGGCTCGAGAATGTGCTGAACCTGAGCAAACAAAACTGGGTTTTCCCTGTTGCTGTTGTTAGCTTATCAGTGGCTGTTGGTGTGTTATACCTAAAGAGGAAGTAGAAGATGTGGGATATTTTTCATTTTTCATGGCTTCACTTGGACAATATTAAAGTTTTTGATTATTATTATTATTATTATTATTATTATTATTATTATTATTATTTTTTTTTTTTTTTTTT